GTGACACTGGCACCTCACGCCCCCTGGCTTGGGCTCTGTGTAGTTTACGTGGTGACTCAGTGGGTGACACTGGCACCTCACGCCCCCCGGCTTGGGCTCTGTGTAGTTTGCGTGGTGACTCAGTGGGTAACACTGGCACCTCACGCCTCCCGCCTTGGGCTCTGTGTAGTTTCCGTGCTCTACCCATGCTTCCCAGATACTCCAATTTCCTCCCAGTCCCACATCATGAGGTTGGACCACCTGGCATCTCTAAATGACCCCTCGCATGTGAATGTGTGTTTGCTCTGTGATGGACTGGCATCCTGCCCAGGGTGTCCCCTGCCTTGTGCCCTGTGATTCCTGTGACAGGTGCCAAGCTCACTGTGATGGATGGATGGATGGATGGATGGATGGATTGATGGATGGATGAATTTTCCTTCTACATTTATACCATTTTATCCATGAATATCTTGTACATGTAATACATAAAATGTCTACTCACTTTTCTTCTTTGTCCAACCCTGTAATTAACAAAAAAGATACAATTAACTATGCTAGAACTTAAATATAAAACAGCAATTTGGAGTTTATTGTAACTCCCAGGGTATAATTAATGGGTAATGATAATGTGTAATGCTGCATTCCATTTGCCCTCGGAACTCGGATTCCGAGTTTTGAAGCCGGAAGTGACGGCATGCGCGCTCCCGTTTCTCGGAGATCCGAGAAATATCTCGGAGCAGCACAGAGAATCCTAATGTTGTTCAGATGTTCAGAACCCAAGATGGCTGCGCCTTTTATCAACAGAAGGGACAGTTGTAGTTTTATCCTGTTTAAGCACTACTTCTCATTTGTGGCTCATTAAATCGGTCGCACACATTATACCGTTCATCTCATCTGTGGACGTGTTGCTACGGAGATTTATACGTGAAGCACCCGCGCGTAATGTGTTATCAACTGATATTGCTAACAATGGCTACCAATTAACCGAGCTAGAATTGGATTTCATGATTAGTCGGATTATTTGTCGGATTTACGGTAGTTCGGGCTGATTGTAAGTGAAGATAAAGGCCATTTAAACTGAGGTACCTTAAATCCGACAAGCTGTCCGGCTAAGCAAAAAATCTTGCTTTTTCATACGAGTCCATGGTATTGCTACTTCTGTGGCAAATGGAATGCATCTGACTCGGTTTTCCCGAGTTTTTAGCGGATGTGACGTAATCTCAGAATTCGAAAATCGGATCCCGAGGCAAATGGAATGCAGCATAATAACTAATGATTATTTGCATAATTATAATTATTATATAATGATTACTGACAGTGAAAGGTTTTTGCATTACACAGACACATGTGCTGTATCACTGACTATATTTATATCATCTCCCTTCCTTTGTAATAGTCAGGCTCCCCATTACACCCTCAGTGCCCCCTACTGGCAAGGAGGCCATTACAGTCCTGCACTGCTATAAAAGCATCAGAAAGGCAGACCAAAAAGGCTCAAAATAATTAAAGCAGCGGTGTTACAAAATGTTACATCCTGAGCCACACAATGTGGTGAATAAATAACATAATACGATTATAAATTAAATATTCATCTAGGTTAAATGATGGACATGGAGGTCAGATAAAATGTCACTATAAGCATTTTCTGTTGTTTCATACTGCAGTATTGTTCAGGACAGTTACTCAGTAACTACTAAGTGATTACTCAGTTTTCTGTGTGATTACTGTCCTTTCTTTTATACTGGGTTACCGCCTTTCTTGCTTCTGTCTCAGTGACTGGGATATGGCGGGATGTAAACGACTGGAAAGCTGTCAACACACTGGAAAAGTCCCAGCTAGTACACATATTCAGGCTTCATGGAAAGTTATGCATCATATCTCTGTTACACTTACAGTATGCAGACATCTGTATAACAAACCAGCCAAACAGGAAGACAGACCCAGAAATCAGGACAATCAGCCGTAGATCCAATGGCTGTTTCCCTGTGTCTGAAATTACATCATCACAAAAATCACTGAGAGCTGAGGTCAGTAAATGAGCAGTAAGTGACCAACAGGGTGACCAGCAGTGTCCAAAAAGGGGGACTGAGACTGAAAAAGAAGGACACCCAAGAAAAGCTGTTCAGCGGGGGGGGGGGTCATGCATCGTATCGAGCACAGCCGTTCTCGGCTTCCGCAGTATGTGCGACTGGGGTGGGGGAGAGTGGCGCTAATTGTTGATGGGGAGGCGGGTGGGGCGGACAGAAAAAGAAGGACAAGGGGGCTAAAAGGAAGACAAGGGGCTATACGGAGGTAAGGGAGCTAAAAGGAAGACAATGGGGCTAAAAGGAGCACAGGGGGGCTAAAAGGAGGAGAAGGGGCTCTGAAAAACAGCACAGTCTGGATGAAATCCGAATGAATGTTCACCCTAGTGACAGATAATAAACTACAGGAATGCATATATACATAATTCAGCTGCACTCTAGTACATAGTTTACATAGTATCACTAAGGGCGTTTTTCCACTGCACTAGGTACCGTACTTTCGGTACTTCCATAAAGTGCCGAAAGTTTGGTACTTCTGTCATGTCGGTTTTCCACTGGCGTAAAAATGGTACCGGCGCCAAATGACATCATCAGTGACCGCCCCTGACTGACCGGCCAAAATTAAAACTAACAGTTGAGGCTGGAAAATGCGGTTTATTATGTCAGCTTCTATCACAGTATAAGATTCAGTAAAATCCAAATCATGCTGCCATCAATTAAGTTTACGTATGTACGGTTACTTTACCGTGGCTAAGCCGATCAAAGCAGTAAGAATTAGCTTACTGCTAATTCAGTCTTTTGAAAGCAAACAAATTATTTAATTATGTTTTTTGATTTTCAAGCGGCATTGTTCGGTGTTTCGCGTGTGCCCAATTTCTTCCAAGCGGCTTGGTATTACGGTGTTCCGGGCAATTCAGTTTCCCTATGTTTCTCCTGTCTATCAGGAAATAATGTCTCCCCTAATATTAAAGCAAAGAGGTATGTGAAATGTCTGAAAATCACTCAGGTACATTATTACATGTGAATACCGTAGATCGTCGCGCATAATATAGTCTTATAAGCAATACTTATACCGTTTTCATCAAGAAATATCTCTATCTAGCGAATTAAGTAATTTCATTTATTATCTGTAAAAACAAAAAACATAGAAAAGGCATGTGATGTTTTAAAATTAATATATGGCTTGTTTACCTCAAGAGCTTCGTAAAAAGACAAAAACAACAGCGAAACCGTGTACAAATTAGCGCGCAACAGGGGAAACACAGGGAAACTGAATTGCCCGGAACAGCTGAAACGTTTTTATTTCGAGTCGTGCCATCCAAATCCCACTGGATCTCTTCATCCGACCATATGGCGATTAAAGCCTGTGTTTCCTCGCTTGTCCATCCTTCCATTTTACTTTTTTATATTTTTGTTTCTACTGCTTTTTATTTTGTTTCTCGCTGTGATCGCTCTGCTCGCTGTGTGTTTCAGAAGACGGCGGTTGTATTTTGCAAATAGCGGCAGGCTATTTGCATAACCAATCGACAGCAAATACGTTTGCAACTCCCACCCCAAATTACCGAAGTACCAAAGAAGTACCCCAACTGGTTTGGCACTTTCGGTACTCGAGATTTCGGTACTGGTACTCGACCGGAAGTCAATGGAAAAGCGAAAGTACCGTACTTTGTGCGGTGGAAAAGCGCCCTAAATTTGCAGGAGAAACATCTCAAAGTTTTAGTGTATTTACCTGCTTTGAGTTTTAATGCTACAGCTAGGGCAGCAGAATTCAGGAGAGGGAGACCAAGAGCCCCTGAGAAACGTACATATTTACGAGGTTTGGCTGAAAGGTAGAGAGAAAAGCATTGGTCACACGGCTACATATGTACATTCAAATAGTCATGCATATATAATTTGGTTTTTCATTATTTAAACATTAAATATTCAATCAATTACATTTAAAAATCTTTGATTTGACAAGAGTATCTCTGACACATAAACAGATCTAAAAGTTTAAGCTTAAAAAACTGTGAAAAAAAAAACTGGTTTGTACCAAGGTGCTTATCCCGATACCAGTCACCATTGTTTGTGACAATCAGGATGTAGATGAACACAAACTCGCAGATCTTTACAGGTCGTTCTGTGGTCAGAACAATGGGATGACAACAGAGGTTATTAATGATGTGAACAAGCTGCTGTTCCTCTAAATTCATGGACAAGCATAAACAGAACAAAATTCATAACAAAACCACTTCATCAGTTGAATCAGATGTGCTTTTTATGACTGAAAAAAGTATGACTTTAAGGAACATTTTTTATTGTCTGTTCCTTAACCATTAATGAACTGTTACTAATCATTAGGTAATATATTAATGGATAGAAAGATTCATTAACACACAAATTTATAAATGCATCACAATCATATTTTACTCCTGGTCTTTATAAAACAGCTTGTAAATCACTTGCAAATATAAAACAATGGGTTAGTAAGCAGTAACTCTGAACTGAGTGATAACTGAGCATTTGCAAGCTCTTTAGTAAATATTTGGTAAGAAAAGAGTAAGATATATCTTTGTAATACATTTGTAAATTAGATATTAAACGAATCTTTTTATTTACAAATTTATCTAATGATTCATAACACTTTATTAATAGCTAAAGAGCAGACCATTAAGGCTCAGGTATGATTAAAAAGTCTGACTGTGTTGTTTTTACTTGCAAGTGATTTACAGGCTCTTTAGTGAAAACTTTGTGAGACAGGAGTAAGGTCTTTGTTTCAGGTTTCAAGGCTTGTTTTCCAGAGACTGGAGGAACACAGTGAAATTCTGTAAAGATTTACATTAAGTGGACCTTCATAATGCATTCATAGAACATTAATAAGCAGCATGTAAGTATACTGTAACATGCCTTAAAGCACTGCATTCATAACACTTTCAATGAACAAGGCATGACAGCTTTAATATACATTAATAACAAACATTATAACCATATAATACTGAGGCAGCAGCCTTCCAGAATGTCAGTGCTGACGACCAGCGTGAAGATCTCCTGCTGCCCATTCTCACTGTATTAATTAATAAACCAAACACCCACTTGCAGGAGGAGCTGCACAAACCGAGGTCTCAGCTTAACACCCGTTTGATGGTACAATGGTGTTAAAGCTGATCTGTAGCCAATGGACAGCATCCTGACGTAGGTGATCTTCTCTCCTAAATGTCCCAGAGCAGCGTGCAGGGAGAGGCAGACGGCATCATCCACGGATCTGTTACACCACAAAGTAAACTGCAGTGGGTCCAGGACTGAGGGCATGTTGAGGTTGATGTAGTACATGACCAGATTTTCCAGGGACTGTGGAGGTTAAAGCGATGGGACAGTAGCTTTCTTCAGCACAGACACAACTGTGGTCTTCTTAAAGCACAGGGGCACAGCGCACAGAGACGGGGACAGGCTGAAGATGTCTGTGATATGACGGCTGCCAGGTCATGATGCACAAGTAGGCCTGGGGTAAAGCTGTGCTCTCCTGAACTCACCGCTGCCTAGCAATTCACCCAAGCATTTATTTTTTAATTTACAATAATTCACCATGACATGGCTTCAGTATTGACAGATTTTAATAAAATTGTTCTTGCTGAGTTAAGTGTGCAAACTTAGTTTGCATTATGTTTGTAAAAGCTTATCTGTTTTTTTCACCTGTTTTGTGTTGGAGTTTCTGTGGTTCATCCTAAAAAGGGACGTGAGTGGAAACACAGGCCCAATCTCAATGTCCTCCCTAAGGCCTCAGGCCTGAACCCTCACAGGCTTACAGTCTCACAGTCACCTGGTAAGTCACTGGGTGTGACAGGCTGCAAGGACTTGAAACAGTATAAATAGGAATGGGACAGTATGTTGAGACATACCACGTTACCTTGACGCCACCAAAACATGTCCCTTACCCTTTGGCAATGGTAGCCTAATAGTGAGGGAAGTGCACTTGTAATCAAAAGATTGCATGTTCGAATCCTTGACTAGCAAGGCACCACTAAGGTACCCTGAGCAAGGTACTGCCCCAAAGCACTACTTCTCTGGGGCTGAATTAGTTCCCCCTCTTATGTCACATGTGGATTAAATGCAGATGACACATTTCATTCAATCAGATTGACTCACATCACTGAGGGTTTAGGACTTTGTATTATAAGATTTGCACTTTCTTCACAGCGAAAGCACTTAAGGGACCAACAGCCTACTGTAAACGTATTCCAGGCTCTTTCCTTATGGAGTGGATAAGAGGTAATTGTCAAGTAATCAATTTACTCTTTTTTTTTTTGTCAAAACGGCATCATTAAGTAAAAGCTATAAGGAATGGTTTGTTTACCTTTTACACTTCAAGGCTTCCCCTGGTCTCCCCATATTTTATTTCACAACCTTCATGCACTTGAGGATTTGACAGTGGGACAGCCCTAAGACCTTAAGGACTTAATGGGAACGCACCTCTGAGTCCAAGACTGTGGACACTGGGATTGGGCCTCAGTCTTGTCTCATCTGAGTGCTGAGGGACTATTGGAGCTTGATCTCTGTCTCCATGAGGTGATTTTCTCCTGAAATCCTGATTTGTGTTGAGGTGTCCACTTCCAGCACTCTACTGCCCTCCTCGCCGGTTGGACAGGCTTCAGTTCCTGCTTACAGAAGCACTGACGAGTGCTCAGACTTGCCAAAGTGCAGATGTATGATGGACTTGTAGGCCGCTTTGAATGGGGTGAAGCTGAGATTGAGTGTCCAGTCTCCCCTGATGTGGCAGATGATGTGTTGGTGTCATTTCGGGAGGATTTTCTTTAAGTTGCAGCAGATAAGGTCGCCAGTGATGATAGAGATAACTTCCGAGTGCTGGCTCTTGTTTCCAAAAGGCGGTGTACAGCTCATCCAGCACAGCTGCAGGCAAAGCCCCCGGCGAGATGTAAACAGCAGTGAACAGCACTGAGGAAATTTCTCTCAACAGGTAGAATGGTCACATTCGATCATCAGGAAGTCCAACACTGGGAAGCAGGACTTGGAAACTGCTTCCGCATCGGGGCACCAGCTGTTGTTGATAAAGCAGCAGACAGAGCCTCCCTTTGTCTTGCCGGTGCTGTCTGTGGTGCAGTCTGAGTGGTATACAGTGAAGCCCGGGGCTGTACAGCACTGTGCAGTGTTTGGTTACTGCCAGGTCTCGGTAAAGCAGAACACACTGCAGTCCCGAAGGTCCCTTTGAGAGCCGATACTGCAGTGTAAGTCGTCCGGCTTGTTTCCCAGAGGCTGGGGGTTCGCCAGGAGGACAGTGGGGGTGGGAGGCCGGGGTGAACGCTGTCACAGCCTGGTTAGCACGCCGCCCCACAGCCCCCTCCCTCACTGGGTCTGACCATGGTCGGTGCTGTTTGGTCTGGTCATAGTGTTTTGAACAATTTTGTCAGGTAAATCAGGAATGACAGGTTTGTGGGGACATTATGCTTAATGTCCAGCAGAGTGTGGAGGTCATAGATAATAAAACGTCAAGCTACACGTATGAAGATGCTAAAAAACATCAAAAACACACAGTAGGGGGAGAGCAGCTTGTAGCGTGTCGCTATGGGAGATGTAATACATTTATAAATTTGTAAGTGAATCTTTTTATTTACTAACATATTACCAAATGATTAGTGACAGTTTATTAATGGTTAAGGAGCAGATCATAAAGTAAAGTGTTACCAGTTTTTCTTACCTTTGTCATTGTCTAAAACCAGACTGAGATACAGGAGACTTAATATTAGGTGCAGTGAGAATAAAATCCCCAAAAGGATTTTCTGAGCCAGATCTAAAAAACATCAAAATGTGAAAACAACAGATTAAATACACATAACATAAAACAGACCTTTATTAAATATTTTCCCTCTCTTCATTTTTTGCTAAAACATCCTTGAGTCGGGATCTCAGAGGAGGTGGGAAAACAATGGAAATATCAGTATATTAATACTAAGGCCCTAATAAGCAGCAGCCCCCCCCTTTGGCTCCATAACAGCTCTAACCCCCCCTGGACACCCCCTGACCTGTGTGCAGTGGGATACTGGGCCATTCTTCAGAAAGAAAAGCCTCCAGCTCTGTGGAGCATTAAGGTGGGAATCGACTTCACACACTGTGCTCCAGAACCTCCCATAAAGCTTTAATGGTGTTTGGATCTGGTGGCTGGGAGGCCAAGGAAGGCATCTGACTCCATCCTGGTGCTCATGAAACCTCTCCTGAATGTGTTTAGCAGGGTCTATGGGGGCATTATCACCTTGGGATAAGGAACATCATGAGGGAACAGTGTCTGAGACACAGGGAGCAGCTGCTCTTGTAAAAAGCCCTCATGTTCCTTGGCTGTTATAGGACCATGCAGAGCATCATCAGACCTAAAGACTCCCACAAGATGGCTGCCCACACCAACAGGCTGACAAATTACCACCAGCTTCCCTGTCTGTCTGCCCCTGTCTGTGTGCTTTGACTTATGACGCCTGTTCCTCTTTTCCGATGCAGTCTGCCTGTGTTTGGCCTGTGCTGTCATGATTTATCAGACTGTCCCCCTTGATGTATTAATTTTGCTGTTTTTATGACCAATACACTGGCTTTTTGGCTCATTAGGGACTGTGTTAGTTGTTTCACTTTGCTGCTATTTTATCCACCCCTTGTATGTCAATATCAATATCAATTTATTGCACTTAGTCAATTTTTCCAATATCACCATTAAACTACAAACACATACTGTTCATTACAAACAATCCATAAGTGAAAAGGGGAACAGGAAGAAGACAAATCTTGTATGTCCTGCCCCTTTCTCAATGATTATACAGTAAATTACAAATGGCCATATACATAAACATACACAATAAATTGCAAACACTATCACTCCATCTCCATTATTAACTCATAAATTCATAAGATCTTATATTTTTTTCTTTGTAGTTTCTTAAATTGATTAATAGTTTATTCCACGATTTTACTCCATATACTGAAATACACATCTGCTTTGATGTTGTCCGTACAATTATACTTTTAAAATCAAACTTCCTTCTACTATTATCATCACTTGATCTCAAAGCAAAATACTTCTGTAAGTTATTTGGCAATAATGTATTTTTAGCTTTATACATAACTAATAGTGTTTTTAAATTAATCAAATCTTTTAGTTTCAAAATATTTGATTGAATAAACAAACTATTAGTATGTTCTCTAATATTCCTTTTATATAATATTCTCATAGCTTTATTTTGTAACACAAATAAGGATTTAATATTTGTTTTATATGTATTGCCCCAAACCTCTATACGATACGTCAAATATGGAACAATAAATGAATAATACAATATATGGAGTGTTGATATCTCTAGCACACTTTTTACCTTATTTAAAATTCCAATACTTTTACAAAGTTTTTGTTTTATATATTTTATGTGAGGTTTCCAGTTAAGTTTATGATCCAAAACAACCCCTAAAAATTTAACTTCATATACCCTTTCAACTAAAGTACCATCTATGGACACTGTAATTGAGTCATCTATTTTTCTGTTGCCAAAAATCATAAATTTATTTTTATTCCAGTTTAAAAATAATTTGTCATTAAACCATCCCTGAAGTTTAGACATCTCACAAACCACATTTTTATAATGATTTTAGATCATTCCCAGAGCAAAATATATTTGTGTCATCAGCAAACAAAATAAACTGTAATATTTTAGACACTTCACAAATGTCATTAATATACAAATTAAAAAGCTTAGGACTCAACACTGAACCCTGGGGGACTCCATATTGAATTGAAGATTTGATTTTTCATTTTCTAACTGTACAAATTGTTTTCTATTAGTCAAATAACTACTTAACCAATTATGAGGTGTCCCTCTTATTCCATAATCCTGTAATTTAGAAAGTAACAAACTATGGTCTATGGTATCAAATGCTTTCCTTAAATCAATAAACAACCCCACTGTATATTCCTTTCTTTCTATTGCTGCCGTAATTTCTTCATTCAATTCTAGTAGTGCAAGAGATGTTGATTTATTTGCTCTAAATCCATACTGATTCTTACTCAGTAAATTATTTATTTCCAAAAAACTGTCTAATTTTTGAACAAACCATTTCTCAAGCACCTTAGAAAACTGGGGGAGTACTGAGACTGGTCTATAATTGTCAAAATTATGTCTATCACCATTTTTAAATATTGGAATTACTTTTGCTGTCTTCATTTTTTCTGGAAATATGCCACTCCGGACAGACAAATTACAAATATATGTGAATGGTTTAACAATACAGTCAATTGTTTTTTCACAATCATCATATCAATCCCATCGCTGTTCATAGATGTTTTATTTTTACTTTGTCTTACTATAGTGAGAATTTCATTTTCCCTTATATCTCTAAGAAACATAGAATGTAAAATTTTACTTCCCCCCCCCGTACAACTCCACCTCTACTAGCTTTTGCCTTAATAGAATTGGCCAGTCCCATATTTACAAAAAAGGAATTTAATTCATTAACCACCTCACTTTTATCCTTCAGAATCTTATCTCCTTTAATAAAAAAATCTGGACAACAAGCATACTGAGACCTAGGTCTTACAACACTATTCAAATTCTCCATGTTCTTTTCATGTCACCATTGCTTTCCTTCAATTTTAAATTGTAATAATCATTTTTGCTTGCCTTGTTAACGTTGTCAATTTATTATTATATATCATATTTCATTTCTATAGATTTAGTTCGAAATCTAACAAAATTTATTTTTCTTCTCACAAGATTTTAGTAATCCCTTTGTTAACCAAGGTTTTGCATTAACATTTTTCTTTTTACTACACACCAGTATGGGGCAGTTTTTATCATATAGTGTTTTATATATTTTTAAAAACGTATCATATGCCTCGTTCACATCCTTCACATATACCCCACTCCAGTTTTCCTTTACCAGATCATTACAAAATTTCATTATCGCTTCGTCTGACCTTATTCTAACATGCTTTATCTGATCAACATCCTTTGTTTTTTTAAATTGACTTTGATGTATTATGAATATTGGTAAGTGATCACTTACATCACTTATTAGTAGACCCCTGTTAATAACCTTATCAATTTCATTTGTAAAAATATTATCAATTAATGTAGCACAGGTACTAGTGATTCTAGTTGGCTGAATAATCACCGGATATAAACTCCTACTGGACATTGCATCCATGAAATCTGTAGTCATTTTGTGTTCTCCTCTTTTAAATAAATCAATATTGAAATCTCTACATATTAACCAGGTTTTTCTATCATTCAACCCATCTATAAAGGTTTCACATCTTTCTCTGAAATATTCTATATTATAACCTGGTGTTCTATATATACAAGCTACTATAATATTTCTTGTTTTTTCCGTCTCAATTTCAACAGCTACACATTCCATGACATCTTCCAAAAGTACTGACATACACTCCAATGTTTTACATTTCATAGAACTTCTGACATACAATGCAACACCTCCACCTTTTTTCTTTACTCGGTTTGTATGAAACAAATCATACCCCTCCATATCAAATTCTATACCTTTTTCTTCATTTAGCCATGTTTCAGATAAAGTAATTACTTGAAATTGGCTTTTAAATGTTTTCAAATATTTTTTAAAAAAAGTCAGGGCAAGAACTAACGTTAAAAATAGGTGTATATCTGTCCAAGGGGTTAATTTATGGAATAAATGTGATAAGGAAATAAAACTTTGTAAATCACTTTGTGAATTTAAGAAAATGTATAAAAGTATGGTTATAAATAATTATATGAATGAGATTTAAATTGTAAATGTATCAGTTTAAATTTTGCAGTAATGGATGGAATTCGTATTTCTGTTATTATATATGTTTTAAATTATGTTTGTATACTCTGGAAAATGTCTTATGAAATGTCTTTTCTTGTGTCATCCAATTGAGTAAACAGTGTCGTTCATCAGATAAGAATGTATAAAGGGTAGGCATAATAAGCAAGGCTTCAGCCTACACCTTTTTAGGTTTTTCTTATTTATATGTTTGTATGTTTGTTTGGCATAGGATATTGTTTTCGAGGACCGAACATAAAATTATTATTATTATTATTATTATTATTATTATTAATCTTATCAAAACTAACAAAGACTTCTACAATTAAAATGAATAAATGAAAAATTATCTAAATCTACAGAACAATTGAATTGTTCATCTGTATAGTATTTGCAATTATAATCAATTTCATTTAACAAATTACTATCTGGATCAATATTATTTTCATGATCATGTATTTTATATTCTTCATCATCAAATCTATTCAGAATTAGATTTCTAGCTGATTTTATCATAAGCTATTAGTCAAAATATATATGAAAGAGAAGGCAAATACATTTTCCCTCTCCTCCGTTCCCTTCTTCGAGTGCTTCATTCTCTTATGTTTTTCTATAAGAGCCTAATTGACTCCATCCATCATTTCACGGCCAGAAGTTCTCCTCCTTTGGGTACGTACTGACTCCCACCCAGCACTCTGCAGTGTTGACTCCAGATCTTCAACCTCAACTTTAATGCTCCAAAACTGACTGCTGTTTCAGTTCGAAATTCTCTCAATTCTTTAAGTATTTCACCCATACCTAAAGGTTTGAGCGATGACGCGTCCTCCATTATTTCCTCTTGATTAACCTCCATTTGTTTTTGCGCACATGCCTCCATTTGTTTGGACGATTGCTTTTGTTTATGCTTTTACATTTTTCCTGCCTCAATTATATATTATCAACAATTCCAAGTAATAGTTCTAGCTTCAAGAAGTTTCCAGTCTCCAACTGTTTTGGACCAAAATTCAATTAATTGTTTGCAAAAGCCCTCACAAGCACACTCATCCAACGGCCATCTTGGAACGTACCAACCACCAAGTCTTAACTAAACTATTGAGTGAAAAATGGGAAACATGAGTCAAGTTTAAAAAATTTACTAAGCTGACTAATACTCTGCTGGTTGTATTTTATAATTTTTTCCCTGGTTAAAACTTATTAAGTAACATTTTACTTGTGGGAGCTCATTTACCATAATCCATCCTCACACGCAGAGCAGCGCTCATGTACCCTAATTCTTCCTCACAGGCAGAGTGGATCCAATTTACCCTAACCCTCCCTCACAGGCAGAGCGGTGCTCATGTACCCTAACCCTCCCTCACAGGCAGAGCGGTGCTCATGTACCCTAACCCTCCCTCACACGCAGAGCGGAGCTCATGTACCCTAACCCTCCCTCACACGCAGAGCGGAGCTCACGTACCCTAACTATTCCTCACACGCAGAGCGGAGCCCATTTACCATAATCCTTCCTCACAGGCAAAGCAGAGCTCATGTACCCTAATCCTTCCTCACAGGCAGAGCGGAGCTCATGTACCATAATCCTTCCTCACACGCAGAGCGGAGCTTGTGTACGCTAATCCATCCTCACACGCAGAGTGGAGCCAATTTACCCTAGCCCTTCCTCACACGCAGAGCAGAGCTCATGTACCTAACCCTTTCTCACATGCAGAGCGGAGTTCATTTACCGTAATACTTCCTCACACGCAGAGTGGAGCTCATGTACCATAATCCTTCCTCACACGCAGGGTGGAGCCAATTTACCCTAACTGTTCCTCACAGAACAGAGCTTATGTACCATAACTCATCCTCATAAATAAAGCAGAAGCAATTTTCATACATTTAGATGTTCATCTATTTTTACCTCAGTTTATCAGCGATATACAGGGAGTTCTCCCAGTAAATTTTACATACATCCATGTTCAATATTCACAGTGAATTGGAGTGTATGTCATGAAGCCCAAATGTGATGGGAAGGTGTTTAACCATTAGGGGGCGCTCAGACACATTGTACCTCAGGTAGCATGTCTATTGAATGACGACCAACCAAAATGCCAAGCAGATACTCATCATAAAACCCGGATGAAAAGCCAGCTGACACCACAGCCTGTGTTTGTGCCACTGTGTACCATATAAATCTATTACTATGGAGAAAAATACATAATTATCACAGTTATTATGAAAGAAATGATCCGGTAATGTTATTTTTATTTAGAATGCATCCTAAAAGAAGAACTAAATGTTCATAAAAACTCTTGAGAAACTAAAATGATAAAATCATATGATTAACAAGATATAATAAATCTGCACTGAAAGCCAGTTATAGGCAGACAAGCAGATAAGCAGATAAGCAGCAGACTAAGGGGGATTTAATGAGTTACACTGCATTCTGATACTTTTTAGTGTTTGTGCAGAATTATTGCATTTTTGCAGGTCAATACCAAATACTTACAGAAATGTCTGAATAAGCACAGAAATCTTTTGGCAATAAAGCACACACATATTCCCAAATAAGTGACTGTCATTGGGATGAAATATCCTGAAATCAGAAAGCAAACGTTACTGTACATTAATCCCCACCCCAAGTCCACATTCAGACATTCAATTATAGCTATGAATATAAACTTAAACATGGTTAATGTCTGAATTCAAATGTTTGAAGCTAAAGTTTTACACATTTAAACATCCCACACATTATCTGTCTTTATGCTCTTTATAAAAGTACAATGTACACAATTCCAGTCACATGACCCTCACAATTACATAGACTAGTAACAATAAAGGAAACACTGTCAGACACCCTATTCTACTATGAATACAGGCAAGTATTATCCATCCACCCCCCCTGCTGTCCAGGACCCACACATAAGTCAGATTTAAAGTGTTTGGACCAATCAGGGATCAGTCCCCATCCACTGCAAGTGTAACATACTGTACATAAACTCCAGGGGAAAAATCCTCAGATAAACAAAGTTATTTAATGGTTTTCTTTTTCTTTCTTGTTTTTACATCAGGTACATTGTGTATTCTGGTGGTTTAGAAATAAAGGCATACATATACATACATATACTTAATATGTTCTTTTCACCAAGTGGAAATCTATAAGTTTTGTAGAATAGAGTAGAAAAGAATTTAGAGAATAAATTAAATCTATTTACTGAAAGAATCACATACCCTGCATTTAATTACAAGAAAACTCACCAAGTAAAATTGTGCCTTGCATCCACGCTTTAAGCTGGATATAAAGAGTAAGGATCTGCATATTAAACATCATATTTTGACCTGTAAGTGTAAAACACACCAAATGAGACACAGCACAGTGTTCCTGAGCTTGCAAATCAGCATTTAATAGCTGAGGTCTAAAGAAAATAGGTTATGGGATGTCAGGAAAATGATCAGGGATCACATGTTTGTTTGGTTTAGTAAATTGTAAAGAAGAAATAACTCTATAACTAACTCTGGTGCAGGATTCCTGAAGTAACAGGGACAAACAAATATGTGTATTACCTAGAGAATATACTTACTGTTGAATAAACGAAAGAATCTATAAAATCCAATTTCTGTCCTTATATGACGAATCATAAGAATGCAAAACCGAATAACTGAAATTGAGATAAACATCATTAGAAATGAAATTTGTGTCAAACATATAAGAACAAAGATGTACTCAGTGGTCCTGTGTTTAAAACCCTGCACAGCACTGTCACCTGGTGGTTCTGGGTTTGAATCCCATTGTCGAACTGAAAGAACATCCCAGGTTAAGAGGCAGATTAAAATGTGTTGTGTTAAAGGTGTTTAGGTGGGACATGATATAAAACATCCCATAATATTTATACTTTAGTAATGAAAAATAGATCTTTAAAAAACGGCCAAGCTTCACACCTTTTGGCATTTAATTACGTACAATATGAAATGAAACAGCTCTATACTCAGTTCTCACCCACTATTTATGATAGATCAATGGCCAAAGTAAATGTAATAAACTAAATAAACCAAAAAGTACATTAAAAATATGTTAATATACTTACCAGGGGTTAAGAACGCAATCATCAGAACTGTAAAGACAGTTAAAAATGTTCCAATTTGTGCAATTTCTCCTATTGTTGCATTTCCAGAATAATACTTGGCAAGAAATATAACAACACCAACTGAAATGAGGTAATATTATAAAATTATAAAATTCATGACAGCAATCCTGTGATTAAATGAGCACAGCCCTGTCACTTGGGGGTTCTGGGTTTGAATCCCATGTTGGACACTGAGACACTAAAACTACATCCCAGGTTAAGAAGCAGCCTAACATTGTTTATGCAAAGATAACGATGTTTCAGTGGGACATGCATATGCCATAATATATACACTATATGGACAAAAGTACTGGGAAAAACCTCTTAATCACTGAATTCAGGTGTATCATTCAGACACATTGCCACAGGTGTTTAAAATCAAGCACCTAGGCATGCAGTCAGGTTTACAGGCATTTGTGAAAGAAGGGGTCATTCTGAAGAGCTCAGTGAATTCAAGTGTGGTACTGTCATAGGATGCCACCTTTGCGGTAAATCAGTTTGTGAAATTTCTTCCCTGCTAGATATTCCACGGTTAACTGTAAGTTGTGTTATTGCAAAGTGAAAGCATATAGGAACAAAAGAAACTAAGCCACAAAGTTGCGGACCACATAAGGTAACAGAGTGGGGTCAGGGACAGATTATTGAACAAATAACTCACACAGAATCTGATCTGAAACGTATATATAACGTATATCATACGAATAACTTTATGTTAACCAAGAAATCGCTCATATCAAGTCGCTCATATCCGCCTGGGTTACATGTGTGTGGAGTTTGCATGCTCTCTCCGTGTCGTCGTGGGGTTTCCTCCGGGTACTCCGAGTTTCCCCCACCGTCCAAAAACATGCTGAGGCTAATTGGAGTTGCTAAATTGCCCTTAGGTGTGCATGTGTGTGTGAATGGTGTGTGAGTGTGCCCTGCGATGGGCTGGCCCCCTGTCCAGGGTTGTTCCCTGCCTCGTGCCCATTGCTTCCGGGATAGGCTCCGGACCCCCCGCGACCCAGTAGGATAAGCGGGTTGGATAATGGATGGATGGATGGATCATACGAATAACTTTATGTCAACCAAGAAATCGCTCATTTCTATCCACATATTAAATGCATCTCTTCCGGACTTTGCGCTGCGCGAATTCATGTATAATATCATTAAAGTCCAACGACTTGGTCAGCTCACTCTCGATGGCAATCAGAGAAAGCCAGCAGAGACGTTCTTGTTTCATCTTAATTCATTTTTAATTCGACCCAAAAGAGAGAATGATCGCTCTCCTTCGCAGTTCGTAACAGGCAGTGTGAGGAATAACCGAAGCGCAACATATACGTTCGGAAACATAGACTCAAGGCCGTACTCCAAAATAAGTCTGAGCAGTCCTTTTGGGCTTGTGTCATCCCCAGCCTTGATGAATGACCTCAGTTGAATTAGTTTGTCACCTAAACATTCACCCAGATCAGATGGGTAGGCAGATGCCAGAACACTGGCCTTCTGCATCACTGAGGCATCCGATTCAGTCGTATCGAGAAAAAGCGCACTAAACAAGTCACAAAGGTCCCTGTATGCCTGCAGGCGGTGTCGGAGGCTCTGTGTGAGTGTGTCGATGGCAACATTAAAAGTCTCGATTGCCCTCTTCCACTGTTTCGTCAGCAAAAGTTTTGTGTTTCTTTCGACGACAAATGTCATGCTTGTACACCTGGCTGACACCAGGCACACTCAACGCAGCCCTGAGGAGGTGGATCTGCAGGAAGGAGCATACAAATCCAAAGCAGCTCTCAAATTCCTCAAATCGATCCCTCTGTGCAGTAATGAAATCACACAGTGACTCCAACGCTCTAACAGCACACTCAAGTGACACATCGCTGTGCTACAAAATAGTGCTAGTTGCATGGAATCGTAACAATATTGTATCCCAAAACTTGGCCATGAACGCAATCTCCAATGTCTCAAACTGCTTACAGAGTGAACGTGCTTCTGAACGAGTCTCCTTTTTTTCATCCATATCCGTGGAAAAAAGCTAGCAGAGGTAACCTGCCTTTGGTCCCCCTCTACTGTCATGTTGTTCTCCTCCTTCCCTGCTTTAGCCAGCATAACACTGCTAGTGTTGCTGCTAATGCTACTACCTGGCTGTCTCTCGTCACCATGTGTCCCTGTTATCCCTCCATATATGTGCTCATTGTCCTCCTCATCCCTCACTTCTGTTAGCATCACTGCTGCTGCTGTTACCCGTCAGTCTGTCTTCTTCAAATTTAGCTCTTTTCCCCTCCAATGTTTTCATTTACATTTCATTTACATTTATTGTAGAATTCTTAAAAAAAAAAAAATTCTAGGAACTTGATTTAAAATCTCAGCTTCTCTCAAATCTTTCTGTTTTTTTAACTTGCGCTTAGCTGCCCCACTTTTTTCTGGGCCCCCCGTGCCCTCCAGACTGGGCCCGGGTGCAATCGCCCCCATTGTTACCCCTCCACAACCGGCCCTGGACCTGCGCACTAATGAAGCAGATAGAGGGGTAGCCTACATGTGACATTTACATGTAATACCCAGAGATGGGGGACTCGAGTCACATGACTTGACTCGAGTCAGACTCGAGTCACAATTTTCAGGACTTGCGACTTGCTTGATTGAAGTTAGAAAATGACTTGACTTGACTTTGACTTGAGAGTAAATGACTTGAGACTTGACTTGACTTAAAGTGGAAGACTCGACAATGACTTGAACTTTTAAATATAATTCGTCTAATAAAATAAAATAATTTAATAAAATAATTATGACTCAGCAGCACCATAATTGGCGCCTGCGCCCTTAACGCTGCACAACTCTTAACGTTACTAAGAAGAAGAAGAACGCTGCACAACTCAAACCGCGCCAAACATGGCAGACAATAGTCGAGCTCCTCATATAGTCACGTTTGGCTATAAGGACTTTGAACTAGACCGTACTAACAAAAAAAGCTTTGCCAGATGCAGAGAATGCAACGCGAGAGTATCAGACACGACAACCACAACATCAAATTTCATCCGGCACTTCAAAAACCACAAGGAAAGGTAAGAAAGTCGAATTCTTTATAGTCAATTTAATAAAACGATTACTAATTAATTAAATTAATCTTTTCTGTTTGTCATAATTTGGCCTTGGTTGCATGTTTTTTTTTATCAGAAATGTGATGATCATCTCATAAATAAAACGCTATAACGTTACCAGTGGCGTAGCCACATTTTAATGTTGAGTGCAACTTGAAATGAAAGGGCTTCTCGATATTACATGTAAACTATAATGTCTATATTAAATGTGCGCATTTTCAAGCGTTTGTATGGACTGACTGCGTGTGGTTAGTTGAATGGCAGCTCGTATAACGTTATACTGCATGAAAATCTAAGATGAAAGCGTCGGTGCAATCACTTCTCCTTCAATAACTCGTTCAAAACTTTTTGGTCATACAGACAAGAATAATTTCATCGTTCGAATCGGTTACGTTAAGTGTCTATAATTTTTTTGTGTACACTCACAATAACAACAAAATGTTGTGTGCTGTATAATGAATGAAACCAGTATATCAGATTATATATTATGTATGAAACGTGTATATTGCGCGTCCACCGCAGAGATGACGATTAAGCTTCATAACTTCATCACTGGGCTATATTAACATACATTATATTTATATTCTGCTGAAATGAAAAAGATCCGTTCATTTTAATTAACGAGATTCATCACTAACGTTAGATTAAAAAGAGTGGATAAATCCCCTACTGTGCCTTATAATGGACAGCATAAGTATTAAAGCATCATATATACAACATACTAGATAAATCTTCAGTCACAATACTTTAATTTATAAGGTTCATAGCCTGTATAAATACTTAAGTCTTACATTCTGTCATTACATATAAGTATTTCCATTTTTGTGTGTGTAAACATGAAAATCTGTAACTGCTGGAACCTAACTTAAAGCACATACATAGGCAAGAGATCATCACTTAAAATTAATTTTGCTTTAATGTTTACTGTTTTCCCTGATTGGTTTGGTATTTTTTTTATCCTTGCAGCCATCCATGTCGCAGTTCATTGTGCCCCAGACGGGGTGCCATACATATCCATTATATATAGAGAAATCCTGAAATGTTTTCCTCAAAAAAACAATTTCTTAATGATCGAGGAAAGAAAGACATGAACATCTTGGGTGACAAGGGGGTGAGTACATTATCTGTACATTGTTGTTGTCAAAGTAAACTAATCCTTTCAGATTGAATTGCATTATACATTTTAGACTGGATTTCTTAGTTTTAAACATTTTGTGTAAGCAACACAATTTTATTTTCAGATATTAATGTAGCACAGATATGCATATAATTTAAATATAGCAATGCAAATAAGATACATAATATATGTATATAAGTTAATCTTTTCTGTAAAAATTTTTCTGTGCAAAAATAAACATGTATCGAAAATTTAACCTCTGTTTGTTTTAGTACTGCGACTTGACTTGGCTTGAAACTTATCAGGACTCGACTTGACTTGCTTAGGGTGAACCCTTGACTTGCTTGATTTGTCTTAACTGTGACTTGAGACTT